TGCTGTGTTTCGTGTCAGCAATAGTTATTTTGTTTTTTACTTTGTTGGGGTTTGTTTTTAAAGCACTTTAGAGTTTTCAGAATAAAAGGTTTATACAAACATAAGGGAATAATCACGTATTTAAAATAAAAAAACAACTCTTTTGTTTCTTCTTTTGTATTTTTCAGTAGAGAATTTATTTGCTTTTAAGTATGTTGGTTTGTTAGGAATTGATGTAGAGTTTGGTGGTTTTTTTCAGTCCATAAGAAAACAAGAATGGACAGCTATCATACCGAACTCCCAGCTTATAGTCATCCCCTATCCTCATAATGTTCCTCGAAGGTAAATTCATCATTTTGATTTTCACTTCACAAAATTACATTGATACAGAGTTTAAATTAGGCATTATGTGTAGGTTTAAAAATAGTCACTTTTATAGAAAGTCAGTTTAAGAACAGTGGCAGAGGGGGTCAGTTCTGCAGATGTAGTTGCTACTGTGACCAGGGAAAATACTTCTCAAGTACTTACACAGACTCTTTAGATAGTGCCCATAAACAATCAAAATCTATTACCAGCTCATGCAAACAATCAAAACATATTACCAGCTCAACTCCTGTAAAGAGTAACGTATTTGCTAGATTTACCAACATTCTTTGACAAATTGCAAGCATGGTAATGACTGAAGCAAGCATTTTTGTTTCACCAAACAATTTCTGTCTAGTTGCATATAAAAGCTTTAGTTGAGCCTTTCTGAACACAGTATCTGTTGCCGCAAGTATAAATGTTTTTCTATAAGTAAAGGTGAATGGGTTGGTTAACAAGAGCTTGAACACTGAATTGCAATTTGCAATTAAAATGTTTATCCCAGAAAGAGCATCTTTCTCTCTTTGCTGTTAGAGAAAACATTAGTCACATTCCAGCTGCTTTTTGCCGCTTGATCTACTAGTGAGGTCAGTTGCATTTATCATGCAGAAATGATTTTGACATCAGTTTATGCAGTTAATTTTACTATAGGACAAATAACAGTTGAGATGTGATGTGCCACTTGAGTTGCCAATTAACAATCACACGAATAGCATCGGCCAGATTAAGAAAATTTAGTTACAGTTTTGAGGTATTTAAAGGTATGTGTCAGGCAAAAAATTTTTTGTCTTATATTTAAACTATTCTTGCTTTCCTATAAAGTAGGTTTATAGACACTGTAGAATAGCAGGGGATAAAATCCTCAGAAGAAATAAGATTTCGTAATAAACACTTCTTAAATTTATATATATATTATTTTTTTTACATAGATATATTGTTTCCTGAGAGGACTCAGTGCTGCCTCAACATAGAACCTCCTACTGAGGTTCCTCCTACAGCTTTCCCATGGTAGGAAGCCTGTAGTACAAAAAGGGTGTTAGCTGAGCCTCAGGATCCCACAGCATTCGAGGAATGTCTTCCAGGAGCCCTTAAAGTGTTTAAATTAATTGCATTCTCCCTGCCATAATCAACTGGTTATGTTGCCTCCAACTGCATTTGGCCCTGGGTAAACTTCAGCCTGAGAGCTGCCTAACCAACTGGACCATGTGAGCCTGTCCAAGAGGACCTTCTGATGTGGAGGAAACAGTCTGTCTTAGGGGCTTATTTCACCCTGCTTCTCCATCTCCCCAAGCCCCAGGCAGTTTTGTTGAAGGTTTTCTTATGGATTCTACTTTGTCCCAGGCAAGAGCTGGAGATAAATTTCTTAATGAGAAAAAAGCCAGTCCCTGAGGACATCCCTAGCATTCCTGAGAAGTTAAACAGAAACTGAATTTAGACATGGCGTTACCTGAAAATAATAATGTTAAGCCATACATTTCAAAATAAACAACATTAGGCTTGAGTTTCTAAGTATAGCCACTAGTTTCTGTAGACCAAGGTGTTACCTGTCTTATAAAGATGAAAAAAACCTGCTAGCATAAGTTCTACCTGTTTTCAGCTTCTTAATGAAGGGTGTTAATATTTCCTTGGATTTTCTTTTGTGCAGCTGGAGTGCCAAGCTGTATCTGACCCCAAGTAACATTGTGTTGCTAACAGCTATAGCCTTAATTGGTGTCTGCGTTTTCATCCTGGCAATAATTGGCATATTACACTGGCAAGAAAAGGTAAGCTTAATTACCTAGATTATTTTCTATATTTTCTATACTATTTAACACTACCTAATATTTTACATCTTGTACATGAGGTTTTTTGAGTCCTTTTCTACAGTATAATTTCTGACAGATTGTATTAATTCCCAAAAGGTGTTTATTATTTAGTATTTACTGCAAGCTTAAAAATTGGCATTGTTTTTATTTATGCTCTAAGACACTTAAAAAAGAAAATGAAGAGCAACATGGATAAGCTTTTGCCATTAAGTTGTTATTCTCAACTAAATGAGACTGGTTTGTTTCGTATCTAAGCTTTCTGTTTTGCAGAGTTTTAAGGAGTAGTGTTTTGGAATATGGAACATAAACTCAGTTTACTTATCTTGAGTTCTTCTGGTAATCTAAAAATAAGGAAAACATCTCTATTTCTGTATCCGTCTGTGCTGATTGCACTGACATTAGCATTCAAGGCTGTATAGGGAGTCAATCGTGTGCATATTGGCTGCTTTGCTCTGTGTGTCTAAATTATACATGCAGTGTATAGAAATCCATTGATTTGAAGCAGCATTTTGAAAGGGGCCTTTCATGTCACAAAAGAAATGCGTTCCCATTTTTTTTAACTATGCTCAGTTCGCAATCATATCCAACTGGCAGGATTGCCAATAAATGCTACTACATACCCAAACCATAATCTTAGCTGTCAAATAAAATTATTGCACATTTTGACATGGTAGAGCTGTTTGTTATTTTGTGCTTGTGGAAATAAAATGACCTTGTTAAACATTCAGATAAGCTTTGCGCATGCTTCATATTTAAATGTCACTTGTCTGTCAATCTTCACTCTTCAAAATGTTAAATACAGTCTCCAAATAATAGTACAGCTGGGAATAAAACACACAAAGCAAAGCAATACAAAGTTTATGATGACTGTCCTTAGCATGTCCTGTTGTACCAAGAAAGCATTGCTAACTGCTAGCTAGGACTATGCACTGGCTGTGTTTAACTCTGTCTCTAATGTATCTGTTGTGGTTTTAACCCAGCTGGCAGCCAAACACCTTGCAGCCGCTCGCTCACTCCTCCCCTGGCTGGGATAAATAAAATTAAAATAATAATTATGATTATGGTAATAATAGTGATGATAATAATAGTAATAGTGGAACATACAAACGAAAGATGCACAGGGCAATTGCTCACTGCCCACTGACCAATGTCCAGCCCACTCCCAGCTAGTGATCCTGGAGGAGAGAAATCCCAAAACCCCAATCCTAGAAGCAAGAGAGACAGCTTCCCAGCCACCCTCATCTATATACTGAGCATGTTCTATGATATGGAGTATTCCATTGACCAGTTTGGGTCTGTTGCTCTTGCAATATCCCTCCCCCAGCTGCTTCTGTACCTGCACACTAGCAAAGCATGGAAAGTTGAAAAGTCCTTGATTTCTTAGCAACAACTAAAAATATCAGTATATTATGAACATTCTTCTCGTACCAAATCCCATACTGAATCCAAAACACAGCACTGGGAATGCTGCTAAGAAAAAAATTAGCTCTATCCCAGCTGAAACCAGGACAACATCTTAAGCGACAAGGGTAACGTAAAAAATACTTGGACTTTGAGTTGGGGAAGGATTAACTATGTATAGTTCCATCTGGGGAAATGGAGATTTAATGTCAATGTTTAAAACAATTCTTCATATAATAATTGATGTATGGTAAAGTAAAGAAGCACTCAGCCCAGAGTGAGTGCTTTCTGAGCCATTTTAAACCCCATTAGGTGTAGGCAAATGATGTGGTGTATTGGTTTTATTATAAACTCATTTCTAACCACTGCATCTTGCTCAAAACAGGCATAAATATTTGGATAAATTTTGTGTATTTTCAGACTACTTCATAAACATTTTTTAATTCCTAAAATCTTCCAGTGCCTCCCTATTGATTTTTACCTTTCCAATTTTTAGAAGAAATGGTTATAGTACAGAACAAACAAGAATCTTGACCAAGACTGTATTGTGCAACACTGACATGACTGGGAGTTAAACTCCAAAGTTCCTTGTTTCTAAGCTTGTTCTTGGTTTACTGCATCTTTCAGTAATCTTTCAGATTTCTTTCAGAAATACTGTTCTGCCTAAATGCCGTTTTCCCTTACAGATCTCTAGAGTACATATAGCAAAGAAAGGAAGGAAAAGTACTGGCAGTTACAATCTCTTTTTTCCCCCAGAGGATAGATCTGTCTGTAAGCTGCAGTGTTTCATTCAGCAGTTAAAATAAACCATATACTTTGACCTCTGCGGATACGTGGTAATAGGAGCCCTTTGTCTACAATAGTTCTTACACATTTGACTGCCAGCCAAGTATTGTATTGTTTAAATAACTGTAGGATATAGGGATAGTATGTTGCTCTGTCACTCCTTAGAGATTTTGGATCCACTGGAAGGAAAAAAAAAAGAGCTTTCACATCTCAGTTACTAGCTTTTCGTTTTGATACATCAAAAGAAAGAGAAATTTAGGAAGAATTTACACTGTTATTCATCTTACAACAGATACAGGCTGCTACATTAGCTAAGGACTTTGATATGCCTGTATTCTGATTCTTTATAACTTGCTTTGTGGTCTTTGTGGTCTTGAGGCTAGTCATGTGAATGCTACACATTGATGATAATACTGCTAGAAAAATTTTGATGGATTCATCAGAGTATCAGTTACTGTCAAATTTGAAGTAGTAATTTTTTTCAAGAAGAATACAAGAAATGGAGTGAAAATTGCTTTCTAAGTGAGACTATAAAATTTTGTGGAATGTGACAAGCATTTCAATGCAGGAAAGGGTAAGCTGCTCCCTTCCTCCCACCACATTTTTGAGATTCAGAATACTACTGACATTGATAAAGTCCCTGCCAAAAAGCTTGACTGATATATCTTGAACTTCACTGACAGCTCTGCTGCTTCCACAAAATGCAGTAAAATCCACAGTTAATCCAACGGAGTTGCCATCACACATAAACATTGTGTGTTGAGGAAATCTTTGGCCTCAAGCCAAAGCAGATGACAAACTTTCATGGCAGAACACATGCACCAATTTCTAACAAAATTGTCATGTATTTTTATCAACTGAGATACAAATCTGAATGCCCACACAACAGCATACTTTAAAGAATTTTCTGCATTTTACTCATCAAAAAAAAAAGTTAGATATACGCAGACTAAAAAGCATTTAAATGTCTTGTTAAATTCTCTGATTTACACATACTGTCATGACAAAAAACATTTTCTAGAAAAGTTCACACTGTGTTCAAAAATCCTTTAATAAGTGCTTTCATACTCTGTTGCTGCGTTAGAACACAAGAGGAGGCTTGTGGGAGAGGATGGTTTTACACATTACATGGATTATAGGTACAACTTAAATACGGGTTTTTTTCCAAACTACTCTTTCAGCAGATCAGTGTGTGTTCTGTGTAAGTAAGCAGTGAAATCCATTCTACCTCACATTTTCATAATGCAAACAAACACTGAACATTTTTAGCCTACTTGATGCTATTAATTGTTGGTTGAACTGCCATCTTTGTCTAAACTTGTATTTAACAGAATTTAAAAAAAAATAATCTAATTTTAAGTGTAACATAGATGACATGTACAGTTAATCCAGAGTAATTTAATCTTCTACTTATAATGCATTAAATAAGTAAAAGCATACTAGGAAACATTCTTCAGTTTTGAAATATTCCTTTTTAAAAAGCATTATTAGAAATAATAGAAATAATGGGTCAAAATACTAAAACAGCTGAGCATTAACAACAGAAGCCAATTTTGAGTAGATTACTGCTATTTCAAACTGGCATCATTTAAAAGCTAATTATTGTGGCTTTTACCAAGTTTCTTTTGCCTTTTGTCAGATAAGTGACTTGGAAAAAATCAACCATTCTCTGACATTTGACAACTCATTCCTGTAACAGTATTGCTCTAGATCCCACAAAGATGGTTTTTGGTTTTGTTTTGGTTTTTTTTTTTTCAGAAAGCAGATGACAGAGAGAAGCGACAGGAGGCTCATCGGTTCCATTTTGATGCTATGTGACATGCCTTAATATTTATGAAGAAGCTGCTACTCATTTGCTTAATTGACATACTAAATTCTGATTTGTAAAATGGTTACCGTGAAAATACTGCTGGTGTGATATTTGTAAATGTTGCGTTGTTTGATATTTATTTGGAAAGTATTAAAATTTACCCTTATGTCTCACAAGGCCTTTCAGTTAACAGACTGTATATAATAGCATTTGGTCTTTATTTAACAGAACTGTAAATTTATTTTTCTCAGTAAAGGGATCAAATTGCATGTACCATTGTTTACGTACCACCCATTCTTTAGTAATATTTGATAGAAAGAAAGCTTTGTAAATAAAGTTTAGCATTTCAGCAAGCAGAATACTTTGTATTGGAATTGGTCTTGTCATTTATACATTCCTGTAAAATAACCTGCATTTCTGAAAATGAAGGACCTGATCATTAATTATTTTGATTGTACTAAATGGTGTTTAACCTAAAATATTCTGTATTTTTCGTTGTTTAAATCCATATATACAAATAGTTGAAGAATTTAGGAATGGGAGAACTGAAAGAAATCTGCAGTGCTAATGCTAGTTCAGTAGTTCATCATGGGATAGATGCAGTATTTATGTGTGCTAGATCTAGAGAGAAGGCAATGCATTAAAAAGTTAAAATCATAAAAATGTATTAGCATTACATAAACTGCTTTTATAATTAAACTATAACCACATTTATTTTAGAAAGGCTTAAAGTCATTATGAAAGTAACTTCTTGTATACATATAAGAAAGGTATGGGATTTTTTTTCTTTGGCTTTGTTTTTAAAAAAGTTGAAAGAAACATTTTGGAGTGGAAGAAGAATGAGGATTGACTCCCTAAAAATTATTGCTAAGGGATGAGATATATAAAGATTAAATTAAGAATATAATAGGAAACTCAGAATAAGCAATGTATGTCACCTATGTACACTACTATGCTCAAATTTCATAAGGCTGTAATTATTACATAAGTCGAGTAGTTCAACTTTATATATTTAAAATGGTAATAATGTTACATTTGTTCAGTGTGCTTCAGATCCTGGAAGAGTCTTTAAAAATAATCATGCTTTTATTTAATAGTTACTCCTTAATTACGAGTTTACATGATTGATTGTGCATTTAAATTTGTCAATTTGCATTCCTAATAAATAGTGTTTGATAAACTAGAACACACTTTCTTAACAAACTGCAAAGTGTTGGTCCTACAGCCAGTCACCTCTGCGGTCAGTGTCTCCTCCTGCTGTCCTGTGACACCACCTTTGCTTGTCAATACAGCAACAGAAGAGAAAGAGCAGGTACAAAGCTGAACTGGTTACGTCCACTCTGAATCCCAGTCAAACAATGTGTTACCATGGTACCAGTGCTGAACACTGACCCATTCATACAGCAGCACCAAGCCAAAACCAGAAAAGTACTGAGAAGCGCTCTACTATGGTCTGAAGTTTTACTAGATATTTCTAACATGAACTGATCAGATGCCAACAAAGGAGACTTTCATATTATATTAGCGGTATTATTCAGGATAACCTATTTCCTTAATGCACACCTTTAGTGTTTCTCTCAGAGTGTCATAAAAAGGTAAGATTTTTAGATAAATATTTAATACTGTTGGATTTCTTAAACCCCATTGACAGAACTTGCTCCCAACAGCAGAAGTAATAACAGATTTCAGAATTAAGAAGAAGCACAATTCAATATATTTTCCTGTCTTTTTCATATGGTTGGAGAATAAGGCTAAACACATAATGCCACTGTGGTTGCAGTCGTCTGTAGCCCTCCATCACAATATAATAAACATAGATTAGCCTCCTTATGTTTTTTGGAAAAACAATTAGGAAAGAAATAACCTCATGCTGACATTTAAGCTGTTATCAAGTTACCAAAACAATGAAGTCAGTATATTTTGCTTTGAGGTATTTTGCATGCTCAGTAGTGCATCATTGCATCACTTTATACACAATGCATTATTGGTGCTTTAATAGCTTTCTCAGAATAAAGTTTACCACAGGTTCTAACTACTCCTAGCTTCGCTCACAACAGTGAATGCATCCTACTTTGAATTCAGGCATTAAATATTGTTAAACCTCTTGTCAAAAGTTTCATGTTGTACTTTGGATTTCTATTCTATAAGCATCAAAAATATGTTTGGGTAAGGTTATTACCCTTCTACCACTAAGTTTAAGAAAGCAAAATCAATTAGAAAATGTAGTTCCAGGTGATCATCACAGTAAATGAGAAGTGAGAAGTAGTTTTAACTACATACATTTTCCAAATGCATCCACCATACCGCAGCCCTGGTGAGAAATTGGAAGCTTCTTCAGTGTGAAATCTCACCTATATAAAAATACCGTTGACGTGCCAACTGACAGATGGCTGTTGAAATGCCACTTTCTTTGTTCTCATTTTTCATGAGAAGCTTTGAGACTGAACTTTCCTACCAGATCTATCATTAGTGCACTATAATCCCCCAACAAAAGAACCACCTTTTCTGCTGCAGATGAAAAGGCATATTCTATACAGTATTATATTCCTCCTATAATGAGGCCATCTTTCTTAACAGACAGCTGTATTAAAAACATTTGCTACAGTTAATTGAAAAGTAATCACTATAAATGCACCAAGTCAATTCAGGACTTTTATAAGTACTTTCAAAACACCTAAATAGAACAGAAGTAAATACATAAATTTCTGCTATATTGTAATTATCAGAGCTTAGTTTTGTTAAAACAATATAAAAGCATTAACCATGCCAGTTTTGAAGTTATTAATAACCAAAAGAATTATTTTTAAAAATTCAGAAAATAACTTGTTTAAAATAATCTCAAAACTTTGCAAACAAATAGTATTAATTTGAAAGGGATGGGCAAATGTTTTGATCAAAGATGGAGAAGTACATTGAGAAATCAAGAGCAATGGAGATGTTAGATCTGAAGTATATGCCATTCTTTTTTCCATTTTGGCAACAGGATCTTTTTGTTGAGGCAGTAGTAATATCAGCCTCAGTTGTCATGTGAAAATAATCAGCCACACAGCACTATTTTTATAAATAATTCCTGTCTTCAATGAAAAATGTGATCCCATCTATGATACAATCTGTAAAAATTGTAAAGTATATGTTAACTTCATTTTGAAATTCCTGAATTTCCCAACTTAAGTGAGAAAAGTTTGTAGGTGTATTCTAATACTTGGATCTAATTATATTGCCTGGCATATAGAGAAGTGCACAGTAAGCTTTCTGAAGACTATCAGTATTCTTCATGACTATTCAAAAGTTTGCAGTGTTTTTAACTCAGTAGTAAATAACAAAGCAAATTATACATATGTATGGTTACGTATATGTTACCACACTAAGATGCACTTGCACATTCTATCATTTTCTAATTAGAAATTGTATGTAATTAAGATCTATCAAATGCACCTAAATCCTATTGACAAACCCAGGCACCAGAACAGTTAAATGTAACTCCTTACTTCCTTTCATAATTATTCACTGTTCACATCTGTATTTTTGCAACCTCGTTTAAAAGCAATATCCATATAGCCTGAAACGTGGTAAAAACTGCTGGTCTAAGGCTATTTAGGATGTACAATCTGCCACTCGAGAGCACCAAATACTTTAGGTAATACTAAAATTAAAACTTCTAGCAAAACGGCAAACTAAAGGAACTTTTAGGGAAAAACTGTTGGGAGGAGGCAAAACCAGTTCTAATAATGGAAATTTAAGCCTTTTATTGCAGCAGAGCAGCTGTTGTAACTGACTCATTCTGTAACTGTTCATGCAAGTATTTGCCTACTTCAAAATGAGCAGTCCCACTGCCTTCCATCAACAACTCCCATTCATGATGACTCAGTAGAGCAGCAGAACAATACACAACTGGCTGTCCAAAAGCTGTCTTCAACCTTTCTTAACTCCCAAACTCAACTTTCATTAACTCAAGCTTGCTGCTTGCTTGACCCACAGGTACAGCATTTTCTTCCTTGGAAACTAGCACTCTGTAGGCTCAGAAATAAGTTTCTTTAGACCTGTCACTAGTTTACTATAGAATATTTTAAAGCACCACCTATAACAAGAACTCTAGTGAGACAAAGCGACAGGCATGTCCACATGAGAAATTTCTCTGAAGGCAGCAGTAAAAGATGGCAGAATATGCCCCAAATCTACGAGCTGAAGCTACCACCTGCATCTCCCACACTGACAGCTTGGTGTGGCCCTGTGGAAAAAAACAGGATGGAAAAGCTACTACACTTCCCCAGGTGTGTAATAGCTCTGTTCAGCCTTCTAATGGACAGGCTAGAAGTTCAACTTTTCAGTTAAATTGACTGTGGCAAATTAGATCTTTGCAATTACTACCAACTTGTACTGAGCACAGGATATTACTATGCTTTTCTTTTCTCCTATTTCTATTGGTATAAGACAATTGACCACACGTAGTTTTTTGAATGCAAATTCAGCTTGAGATCTGAGAATCAGGCTAGTTCTCTCATTTCTTACATCATCATAAGTAATAAAAATATCTGAGCCAAATTTTGCCATCAGCTACACTGTGCATTCCAAAAAAGAAAAAAAAAAAAAGCAACCACCTTGTCTCCTAACAATCTGCACAACAGCGTAGTCAGATTTTAATTCTGTGCTTTTGTACTTGTAAAGAGGATAAAAAATTGTGGATAATGCACAGATACAGTAGAAACTATTAGTCTGTCAGCTATTTTCTTGAGTTACTACAGTAAACATTTTTGTTAGTAAAGAAAAGAATGCAAAGTAGATCCACCTAATGAGGACTTCTGTTTATGTAGCAGTTTTCACTATAAAATTTAACATGTCATCACACCACTACAAAAACATGGTTAGGAGGTGAACAGAGAGAAATCGCTTTATCCACTGCTGGAATGCAGCAGCTATTTAACAATTCATGGAAAAACTACCCCTTGAGAAGGACTGTATCATCTCTATTTGAAATTGAAAGGACAATTCAAGTAAGCGGAATAATATAATTATGTAACTTGGGATTTTGCCAGAGCATCAAGCTTAATACTTCATCAAGCTCCTTAGAACACCGAAATGGATCTTTAACACCCAGAAAAGCCCAGGACCTTTACTGTAAGTAAGGTCTCTGCGGGTCTGGCCTGCGCCGGGAGGGAGGAGTGTCACCTTCCGCACCCCACCTGCTCTGCAGCCCCGCCTCGCTTAGTTCGCCAGAACTGCCGATCATGTTGACTTGGAAGAGCCTGAAATATTTAACTGATCATCTGAAGCAAGAGAATGACCTTTTCGAACAGGAGATGCTGACCTTTGAACACTGTGGAAAGAATTTACCAGTCAAACACGTAGCACCAAACCACACGGATATCAGAGCCTCACCTCTCACAGTCACGTTCGAGGCTGTAGCGAGCAGCCCTGCTCCTTAAGCAGGCGGAATCTCAAGTTGCAATTATGCATCTCATTTACAGTTTGCAAAA